ATGTCTTTATTGTAGGTAAAAATTGTTTTTTATTTGACAAGTTTTGCCATTTAAAATGTTTTTTGTTTTATAGTTTCCCAAAGATTATCTCATTTTAGATCAATTGATGGTCAAAACACTCAATCTTTAGATTAATCGGCTGCTAAAATACTGCATAGATTTTGCCCTGATCTGGTTAACAGCATCTATACAACAACAACCACTGATGAGCCAGTAGACCAAAGGAAGGTGCGTTCTAATTCATCCCAGATGTTGGCAGAAAAGGCCAAGCTCAGTTACTTTATTATGTTGATTTCATTAGTCTGGAAAAGCTTTGTGTGTTTACATAGAGGAGAAAGGATTGTGATTTATTTTGGATTTATCCCCCCCCCCCCCCCCCGGTGCTGGGCTTGTAACACTCCACTAACAGGAATGAAGAGCACTATCTCCCTAAAGCAGCAGTTTGTCAGGTTGGCCTTGCAGTGTAATAAACATGACCTTTATGAAAGCATTGCTCAGTCAAGCCCTGCTACGTTTAGTGCTTGTTTTTAAGCTGCGCATGTTGTCCTGTTTTTAAACTGACTTTAGATACTTGGAGCAGAGTTCATGTTAACACAACCTGCCGTTTTTCTCCCAGCTACCAGGTAATTAGCACACCGACAGATTTCTTCATGGTTATGGAGTACGTGTCCGGAGGGGAGCTGTTCGACTACATCTGCAAAAACGGAAGGGTACTGCTTTTTTTTTTTGGCAAAATAATAAAGATTTGGGTTAACCCACTGAAGAGGTTATAGATTGGTATTAAATCTGTTTTTTTAAACCTTTGGACATTTTTATTAAGATAATTCTAATAATTCAGGCAAAATCAAAACATATTTTTCCATAAATTGGACTTCAGTCTTTAGGATGTGTCTTTTTGGAAATACTATATAATAAAGTTTCCCAGTGTTATTAGAATCTGGGGGAGGAATCTTCTTCAAATCAAAAAAACATTACTCAATTATTTTTGGTTTGAAATGACAACTATTAGGAATTGATTATGTGCTCTGATACTTTTATACTTTTAAGGCTTTTTTTTCTATTTTTAAGTTACTTTTGTATCATTATGCTACGTTCAGACCGCTAGCAGCAGAGGCAGCAGAAGCAGCTAGCTTACATGCAAAGTCAATGGTTGACATGCATGAAGGCAAAAGGTCCTGCAGCGCGTTTTGAGCAGGAGGAGCAGCGACGCGCTGCGAACGCAGCAGCTGCTGGAGTCGGTAAAATTGAACTTTAGCTGCTGGACGCGGTGCATCAACCAACCGGAGAAGCTGATCTGGGAGCTGGCAGGGAGT